GAATAAATTGATTATATGATACCAATACCAATGCCAAGAGAATTCTTCTAGAACTTCTTAATGTCAACTTCTTAACTATCAAAGTTGATGTCATCCGGACTTAATTATCTATTTTGGAATTCCCTTAAGTAAGCAGAATTTAAGTGCGCATGACATCGGAAAAGATACGATCCACAATTGTTAAAGGGATTAGTCCAGATTTATAGCGCACGTAGGAGGCATTATTTGAAGGTAAAATAAAGATAGCCAAAAGTTCTAAAACAAAAGTGTTAAACAAATATTTCTGAAATGTACAGATTTAATGATCTGTAAAAGGTGATTAATGTGAATATGAAAAACATGTGAAAACATGAAAATATCAAACGAATGCTGGTAACTAAATTTACACAAGAAACAAAATAGCGAATAACAGATTCCGGAAAAATGTTAAGTAAATGAACAACCCTCGAGTGAACTATGGAAGCATCGAAAGAAAGAGAAAGTTTGCTATTTGTCCATGCTGATAACCTACGATAATAAGTGCTTGCATTGAAAAACTGAGTATGGTCGATTTGAAGATAAAGTCCGGTTTCCGGAACAGATATGTATGAGTGTGAAAAATCAGTATACAATGAATCGAGTAGTTCATCCAAACAAAACTCAATATTCGAAATGCTATCAGTAAAATCAGTATATAAGCATTGGTTGTTGATGAGCTGTGTGGACGACATGGTGTTTGTTTGTTGCTATGGACGGATTCTATAGATAATAAAAGAAAGTAAACAAAGGATTATTTAACAGCTATAGAAAGTATGTGGTGAGATTTAATTACTAGGATTAGTGTTATTAAATTGCGTTATCAAAGCGCAATCTACAATGTTGCACGAAGGTTATGAAAAATATAGGAAAAACTGAATATTATGAAAAGCTTAGAAATGGAAACCATAAATTTATTTGAAAACATGAAAATATCAAAGTTGATACAAAAGTACCTTAGTAATAAAAATGAAGTAGCAAAAGATTGTGGTTTTGGTTTTTAGTGCCATTCGAAGTAAGAGGCACAACTAAGTATAGAAAGTGATTGCGCAATTACGGCACGTAACTGTGCATTATGCATAAGCTAGGGGGAAGCTGCAAGGCTTGCATCCTCCAGGTAAAATCAATAGATAAATGGATAATATTTCACAATAATGAGTTCTAGAGGACAGCTGCTGCTGTTTCCCAGGAAACAAAGGTGAAGCCTACGAAGGGTACCCCTATAGGGACGTTTTTCTGAGCCTGCACCAGCGGTTATTCGCCAAAAAAGGGGTGGTGAATTTTTAATTTTCGTATAAATTAGTATAAATAAAAAAAATCCAAAGGATTTTTTTCCCGAGTTTAAGTTGAAAAGTGAAAACTAAATTTCATGGTTTCCTCCAAATATTTTTTATAGAAAAGTCCCACTGGTCACCAAAGTAGAGCCGACCAGTGGTTGGCGTGGGAGGTGTAGGGTCGARTGCGAAGGCCCGAGCCGGGACATACACTCTTGCGGGTGGTGTGGGAGGGCGGGGGCGGGTGGTTCGGAGGGGAAAGGTGTGGTTATAAAACCTGATGGGTATTCCTAACTGTTCACGTTCCGGCTCGTCGCCATTAAGTGGGGAAAGTAGCGCGCGGCAATCGATGCAGGTAGWTTTGCCCGACGCGGCGAACCACTCCAGGACGCATTGTTCGTGATAACATACTCCTGTCTTTACACCGCAGCAGGGCATCTTAAGGGTTTCGCTGGACAAGGGCTCGCAGCAAAGGCGGCATTCTTCCTTTGATTCGTCCATGGTTTTGCTGTATTCGCTGAAAGAGAAATCTGYGGTAAAATCTCGTGACAGAATGGCGGTCAGTGAATACAACAAAACCAGAAAATGTGGCGTTGGGTAACGTTCCCACCTGGTCTTGACCAAACCATAATAACTGGGCTGTGAGACAATTTGTCTCACCCCAGGGGTCAATGTAACTAGAGAGTAAATAAATAGAAATACATATATGAATAATGAAGATTAAATATRTGCTCAGCTCGATTGAGTGAGGGTTCAATGTTCATTCCTTGACGATTAGACCTTGTCCACGGGCTGACTGCAGTTATCGCAGTRKGGAACATCTTGAAGGGCGATGACTTCTGGTGTATCGTGAAGACGAGCTGTGGTTAGTGGCTCGGGGTGATATTGTTTCCCGTGGCAAAAACGACCCAGCATGACGATGAACACGATGCTGTTCAGGGTGGCGAGAGTTACTGCGATGTAGGCACAGACCTCTGCGGCTGTAAATAGTCTGGCTTCTTTGATCTTGCTTATCTTATGGCGTACAAGTGAAATTTGTTGTGACA